AACTCAGAATTCTACCCGTATTTCTCAATTTTCTTGATCAGAACTTAACTTCTAAGCAATACAAGTACGATATTCAGAATTAGGATCAAAAACTGAGTCGAGTGATGTTTATTTCACAATTTTTAGTTGATTTTCATTTTTGAGCGAAAATCTCGGTAATTTTTCAATGTGAAAATTCGAAAAAAATGAAAGTAATCGGATAAGATAGAAATACACAACGCGCAACTCAGTTTTTGATCCTAATTCTGAATATCGTACTTGTATTGCTTAGAAGTTAAGTTCTGATCAAGAAAATTGAGAAATACGGGTAGAATTCTGAGTTTTTTGCCACTGATTTAGAAAAAATGAATTCTCTTACGCGTTAGCGAGGAAAAATAACCTTTTAAAAAACGAATCATACTTTTGAAGCTGAAGCACTGACCAATTTGATGGTGCTCGAATCAAAGCTCTAGGTCTTCACACAAAAATCTAGATAGATTTTTGAGTAAAGGCTCTTGGATTTTGAGCGTAGCAGGTTCCTGGTCCATAAAAGATCTGTATCAGGATACATGGACTAGTGCACAAGGAATTTGAAAATGATAAGCAAAAATTCGTAGATCCTCTTAGCAAAAAAATCCAGAGCTTTTTCTCAAAACGAAAAACTTTCACACTTTTCGGGTATTTTCAGTGTTTCCGATTTTTCTCAATGAAGAAAGGGTTTCTCGAGGTTAGGAAGGTGATATTCGTAAGCGTCGTCTAGCAATTCAAAATATATATAATATATCCAAAAATAAATTTCACTTTAAGTTTGCATTACGTGCATCTTATTAATATTTGCGTTTAGTCTCCAGATGTTGACAATTATCCTAATTATAAGGCTAGTCACCGAAGAAGCATTTCTTAGTTTGTGATGGAGATATGCATCAATGGAATCATGCAGCTTTCACAGTTCCTTAATAGAAGGACATCATGATCGTTCTCCAGGAAAACGTTTTCTGCAAACGTTTCTAAAGAACCAGGAATGAATGAATCTGCGTGAGATTTGTATAACCAGACATGGTGACCAGAAATACACAGCATATGTGATCAAGATTCTATACTTCAAATGCAGCAGATCGGAGCTGCCATTAAGGATATACTTTCGAGGATCAGTTCAGTCTACTGTTATACAGTGCTTTGCAACTTACGTAATGAGGTCGAAGGATTCTGCATCGATTGATTCTATATCCATTTATTTTCTCTTGCACAGGTAATGAAATACTGTTTCAGTCACATGCATATTTCTTATTCGGTCATTGGTAAGAAGTATGAAACTTACCACGTTTCACAACTACTGTGACTGCTGATAGAAATGGCGGTAACCTTGACTAAAATGCAGGAATTCCAGTTATCCATATGTATGCATGCACTCATGTGTGACTGAATGTACGAATCCTAAAACGAGTCCTATCATCAATTTATAAACAACTATATCATTAGATGACCTAAAAATGCTGCGACAAACAGCGATACATGGTGTGCTCTATGCAGACTCAAAATTCTTACTGGATGCCCTCAGATTTAGCTTTAAGACTCTTGCACATATTCGCCCTCATTAACGTAGCAGACCTTCGAAGTTAACGTCAGATATCAGGTTAAATATTGCCGTGAGTCACACATTTATCATTATTAAGGCTCTATGAGCATTTTACTACACGCATAATTCGTTTCCAATTTGTGTATTAAAAGTGATCATTTTCGATGCTGATAATTACATAACTGTAGCCGTTTGTCATCAATTTTGTAGTAACTACTACGCCGTTGGTCTGACAACAAGGATAAGAAGATGGTTCATGCTCAAGACTCTCTGAAGTGCGAGTGATAGCGGTGTCAAGTTCCACAGCCTGGAAATTCAAGTATTAAAAGTGTTTACTCACTCTACTAATTCTGCCAGATTCCGGTAGAGCTCGAATTCTATTTCTGGTAGAGACTCTCAAGTGTCAACTAATAAAACTCTGTATAGGTTCTCTCTACAAATTGGTAGATTCTGGTAAAACCAGAATTCAGCCAGCTTCTGAACAGAATCTTGGTATTACTGACAGAATTCGACACATTCAAATATATACTGTTTAACAGTATATATTTGAATGTGTCGAATTCTGTCAGTTCTATGAATTTTCATGAAATTGTAGAACTAGATACTGCTGACAAGCGATGGTCAGAATATGGAATAGGAATGGTTGAAAAAACATCTGTTTATTATCAAGCACTGGTAGATTCTGGACTGTCCAAAACAAATAGTACGAATATCTCTTAAACAAGAGCACTGGACTTGCATTTCGTTTTTCAGTTGTTTAATTGAAAAGTCTAGTTCATTTTTAACCTGTATCTGTTTTTGAACAGATTTCGCCTAAGCAATGACTATTACACTATATTCTGCACCCTCATGAAAGTTGAAAGATGGTTCTGTCTCGATGAAGATTGCGCAGGGCACGGGGATTGAGAGCAGCGTGCCTGAGTTGGCTAGTGGGCAGACAACGTATTTCAAACATACGGAGTTCGAATCCTGGCAACGGCGGTCGCATGATAGTCTTGGACAAGCTATCTAATGCTCATTGTCTCGGTACCGTTACCAAAAAAGCGATTGAGAAGTTCTGCGCGAAATCAAATATTTTTATAGCGGATGCGAATCATATTTAATTCCACAATACATCTCTGTATCGAACGTATCATTTGTAGCTTTCCAAAAATTTTCAGATATGAATCAAACGAATTTCAGTGTCGCTCAGTGGCTGAATGAGCGGAAGCTGCCTGATGAATACAGGTGTTGGCTGCCACACAGTAATTCAGGCGACAAAATTTATACTCTCGATCAAATTCAGGCATCGCTTATCGGTCTCGCACTTGGTGATGCTCTTGGGGCACACGTTGAATTTCGGCCACGAGAATATCTTGCTCAACACCCTGTAGAGGAACTTATCGGTGGTGGCACCTGGGGACTACGAGCAGGCCAATGGACCGACGATACGTCGATGGCTTTATGTCTAGCAGCAAGTCTCATTGTCAACGGCGATTTTAACCCTTACGATCAGCTCGTAAGATATAAATGGTGGTGGAAACGTGGCTATCTGTCTTCGACAGGAAAATGTTTTGATATCGGCAATGCGACGCAAGAATCACTCAATCAATTTCGCCAACGACAAGATAGCGTGCAGCAAAGGTTGCAGTTGTCTGAAGACGACATTGATTCTCTTCCGCAGAGCTATGTGGCAAGCGTTGGATTTAATGTGAACTGTAGTAGGCCGGGAGTGGCAGGTAACGGAGCTCTTATGCGTTTAGCGCCTGTTCCTCTCTTTTTCTATCGATCCCCAGTTCATGCTATCGATTATGCCGGTCAAAGTGCTCGTTTGACACATGGAGACGATAAAGCAGTTGATGCTTGTAGATATTATGCGGCCTTGATATGCGCAGCTCTTCAGGGACTCTCAAAAGACCAATTACTCCACGACAACTTCTACACTGTGTGTTTTCAAAGCGGTTGGTTTGGTGAGAAACACTTACATAATGAAGTTGCAGCAGTTGCTCGAGGTTCTTATAAAAAGAAAGGAGGCTACAGTGCAGGGATCAGGGGAAAAGGTTATATCGTTCAAGCGTTAGAAGCCGCTCTCTGGGCATTTTGGAGTGAAAACTCGTTTAGAGAGGGTGCATTATCAGCCGTTAATCTGGGTGATGACGCTGATACAACAGCTGCTATTTATGGTCAATTAGCTGGCGCACATTACGGAATGAAAGGAATTCCTGAAGAATGGCTCAAACAATTGTATGCGAAAGACTTCATCAAATGTGTCGGATCATGGTTGCACTCTAATGGGCATGAATGGAGTAGACAAATAGAAAATTTAGCTCAAAGTACGTTCGACTGGCAGAAGCCTGTTAACCAATGTGCAAGGCAGCGAGTGACAGCTGAATACCCTATCCGACAACCTTGGAATGCCAACAGAGATGAACACCAACCACCACATATCAAATACGCTACGCCACTAACGCCGAAAGTGCACCCCATTCCTAATGACGGTTATTTGTCAGATTCTTCTTTAGACTACGATATATTCCCACAACGTCGACAAAACGTCAGAAGCGGATATGATCGGCAATTTCAACCCTGTGTAATTCAACCATCCTTCACTTTCGAAGACAGCGGCAATCCGTATGGACAAACACAATCACGGCGGCGCCCTTTCTTGTCGGCATGGCATATCCCAGGTGTATTCCTTTATTTTCCTCAAAGATATATGTTTCGTCATAATCCATGAGCCATATCGTTTAAAAACGATTTTCTCAAGTATTTCGTTTTTCTTTGTAACAATGGACTTCTAAGCAAAGAAAGTTATACTACAGTTACAAGTATATAGTTTTTCATGACGACAGTTTGATGAATAAATTTTTCTAAAAACAGTTCATAAAACAACTGAAGCACTTTCCTTTTGTCAGAATCTATTACCACATCGAGTTTAGCTTTCGTTGAGCCCTTTATGCATAGACAAGCGAAACATTGATAAAGCAAGCGTTAAGCGCGAATTCTACACGTACCATTGGCTGCTTGGATGCAATGGCAATAGAACTTTAGTTACATCTCGTCCGCACGAAACTGTTTCTATATTAGCGGCAAAATACGTCAGGAGGAAACATTTCCCCATCGCTAAAGATAAGTGATGGAAAGCGTGTTTGTGTGGCAAACAAAGTTGCGACAGGAAAACTGTTGTGTGGCAAGTTTGACAGTGGCGTTGTGTACGGGGCAATTGAGTGTCAATGCCTGCCTTATTGATTCTACTATTAGCATACGGCCAAAACGGTCTCGAAAAAAAGACGAAATTAAAACTCCAAGGCGTACAAATCGGATTGTTCACATAAAAGCGAAGTAATGTGACGAAGTTTTGTTATTCTCTCAGTGCAATTTATGCGAGAAGTAATTACAGGTCGTGCCATTATAATGGCTCCATTTGTATTTGATTCAAAATTAATATGTTCTAGAGAACATCAAAATTTTGTAATAATCCTGCTTTTATACGAACAATCCGATTTTTATACCATGGAGCTTTAATTTCATCCTTTAACTTCGTGGTATTGTGCTTCAGACTACAGGGAGTATCAACATAAATTTATCAGAGGAAAAAAAACTCCGAATAGCACCGAAATGAAGACAAAATAAACGACTTTAGCACATGTTTGAGAAGACTAATCTCGTTTCTTCAATCTTGACAACACTTTTACTTAAATGCCGATCGGTTGCGAAGCCATGAGGAATACCGTCAAAATTATTATTGCTTAAATTGCTTTCTGTAGTGCAGTACATTTTTTCACAGAAAATAAAAAATAAAAAGTAACGATAAAGAATGAATTAGAGATTTGTTCTTAATAAAAGCCTAGAAAGAAAAACAAAGGATACTATGTTCATATATATATTAGAGATAGTCTCCGAGAAGAGATTAAAGTTGATATCAATAAAAATTTCGAAATTAGTCTGCCATCTGAGAGAGATCAATGATACTATTGAGAAATGATGTGTTCCTACGCTGTAAACTGTTTTGATCCCTAGTTGCTCTTACAGTTTTTCTGTGATGTGTGTTCATTCTTAAAACAGCTCCGCAAATGCAAATTAATTTTGGCACATTGTCTTTTACCTTTTTCTACTACTGCAAGTGAAATGTTGTACAAATTGAAATTCTTTCTTCATATGAGTTCACCACAAAAATGCTCAGGTTTTACTTTTCATTCATCTTTGTTCATAGTAAAAGGTAGCCAAGTAATTTGCATAAATGAACTAATTAATAGAATGCTTGACATATGTCATCATAGAAAAGAGCTGAACCAAAAAGTACAGGAATACAAGAAACTGCAAAACTGTATTAATTCTTTCTCGGCTAATATGAACTCAATTGTGTGACAGGATTATCGACATTTTAATTTCAAGAGTCTTTCAAAATTTTTCTGCTCAACTTGTCAATAAAATAAATTTTCTACTCATACATTGTGAGGAATGTCCCACTAAATTGAAGCAAGTATTAGAGCAGATTGTTGTTGGAAGCTGAATCCCCTTTTTATTAACAATTTAAAAAAATGAGATGAAAGTGGAGCACATAAAACAATTACAATTGACGATGCGAACGATACGCAACGGTGTCTAGAAGTGCTTCTTAAAATGAGAAAACACATGTATTTGTATATCTACGGAAAAACAGACAATAAAAGAAAAGAACCATAGATATATATGAACGAGGGAGAAAACGAATGAATCTAGAACACAATGGACTGGGCGGAGGGAGAAAATAATTCTCCAATAATACATGTACAAACCTAGAAGTCACGCGGCTAAACATGTGACGAGAATGATGCAATAATATATGTTTAGATCTAGAGATCAGGCTTATGCGGTATATGCAAGGCCTGAGCCCGTAACATACATCAAGATGTAATGTTTTGTATAATGTTCGACAATTATATAAATTACTCAGATTTTTATTACACTAGTCCAATCCGTTATCTGATCTTACTCTATCTACAGATTGCTCACAAGCCGGTCATGATATATATACATTTGAATTATTGATTGATACGGCATGTTACAATGTGGCCAACTGTTTATTCGTCCACATTGTAACATGCCGTATCAATCAATAATTCAAATGTATATATATCATGACCGAGCTGTTAAATAATGAATAAATGCCGAATAATTGTTTTTATTTTTGGAACAATAGATATTCTTTTCGACAAGATGAAGAAGACCTTCTCTGGCTAATTCGATCTGTAGATACATCAACTAACGTTAGTGCAAGAATCGTGAGTCCACCATGAAGCATTATTGATCGTTCACACACGTCGAGATTAATATAAGTCACATTTAATCCTTCATCATTTTTCGGTTCTTTGAAAAAAAATAGATCCTCGAGCGCTTTATCAATTAAATTAATTAATTTCCAATCAAAATCTTTTGTTTCACCTGCTTCAAATGCATAATACCTACTAATTGCTTCTGTCACAACTGCTGAACACGTAAGTGCTTGAGCAACGCAGATAAGACAAGGGGCAATTTCCATGGCCTTCACAATGAAATCCATTTCATGTGATAGGGAATCATTTGCGTTCGCCAAATGTACGAGAGAGACTGTATAATTCGTATACGTAATAATTGTAACGTCATTATCATATTTATTCTCTGAATCATCCGATAACATAGATGTTGCTGTTTTTGATTGATTATCTTTTTCACTGTAAGACATGTAAGGATATATTAGTTACGACAAAAGTATTACTTCCGAATGCAGACAATGACGAGGCATATTGGATTCATGAAACAATTCCGTGTTCCTCGCTGTAAAACAAATTTACCTAGACTACTGAGATTCAATTAGTTCCCTTACCAGTTCTTATTTTCTTTTTTTGCGCGAGAAACGATTTCCTTTTTGAAGTGTCCAGCGTTTTTCTGGTACATATTTCTGAACTAACGAGGGAACGTTCCCAAGTGTTCAATCGCTTTTTAATCGAAATCTAGTGGATTATAGATTATCGATCATGCTGATTCCGAATATGAATATGGGAGTTCCCTTAGCCCTTCGAAGATCCGATCTTCTGGAAAACCAATTTTTCAGAAACTCCAAAAAATGAGAAAAACCTTTTATACTCAGACAGGATTGTAGCGCGCAAATTTATGATTAAAATGAGACCTCTCCCAGCTCTACATGACTTTTCTTTGCAAAATTATAGAATTTATAAGAAAAGCCCCAAATTGTCCGTTGTCAGCTCAAAACTGCAGAAATACGGAAAAAATTAATTTAGTGCCTTTCTTGTAAATTGTATAACCTTGCAAAGAAAGGTCATGTAGAGCTAGGAGATGTCTCATTTTAATCATAAATTTGCGCGCTACAATCCTGTCTGAT